TAGATCTTGGACGCGAGTTTTTGCAATATCCTGTTTACACAGTCCATGTGCGCACTACATGCATAGAATCACGTGGGTACTTTGTAACATAAACGACTGTTTTTCAAGCATACATTATGAAAGTTGCCCCCCCCCCCCCCTTTTCAACTTAACTGCAATGGGTCACAAACAGTTTATTCGTAGATGAGATTTGCATTTTTTTCAGTCCTGCATGGTAGCCTTTCGGTATAAAAAATGAACTACAAATGTGGCCAGCAGTAGTTATCTGCTGATGTCTTATCTATTACTGTCGTGTTTTGCTGAGCACTTTAGATATTTTCTCTTGCCAGTCTCTGTGCCAATTCAAGTGTCTCTACAATTCTCTTCTATGCTTGGAAAGTGACGTAGATAAATCCATAGGGACAGATGTCAATATTTTAGTATCAATAGGTAATCAGTAATCAATAGTCTCGCAAATACATGTTCTATAACTAAATAAAACAAGAGGAGGTATATATTCATCCCAGTCCTTATGAACTTCAGACACATACATGGATAACGACTAACAAATTGTTGAATTAAATCTTTCAACTAAACCATCAGTTTGGGAGTGATAACTTGACGTATTTACCTTGTTAATTTGAAACATTTTACAAACTTAAGTTAGACCCTCTATCCGATAAAAACTTTGGGTGCGCCATGTCTAGCTATATTTCATCTATTAAAATTCGTGCATTTTCACTAGCTGCTATATACTTGGCACTGCAAAAGCTTCAGGCCAACGAGTCAAATAATCGCAGAAAACCACTATATATCGATTACCCTAGTATGAGATACTGGAAAAGGCCCTAAGCAGTCTACCACAAGCCTTGGCCTATCAAATGGTCYTTCTACCGGTAATGGAAGCAGTAAAGCTCGTTACTTATTTCTGGGCGGTTTCCTCATCGAGCACTGAATCGATCAGTGCATGATTTGCACCAATGTTCAACATCTTTAAACATACCTTCCCACCAATATTTTTGAGATATTCTGTCAAATGTCTTATGTACTCCAAAATGTCCCCCTACCATATGGTCATGAGCATTAGCGAAAATTTCAAAATTCCAAATTTCTTGATGGCCTTTGCATTTACGTCTTCGATTCTGATCTAAATGATACAACAATTTATCATCTCCTAAAAAGAAGGAATCACTRCACAATAAAATCTTTAAAGTTTGACATCGTCTTCAGGTAACGCACCTTAAGCAGGCCCCTCTGGATACCAGCCTCGCAGTTGCTGAAAATTACCCTAGGCCTGTTAAAATAAAGTTTATCTATCAATCTATCTCGAAATAAAGATATTCTATAAATGACCCTTAATGAGTGTCTTTGCCTAAAATTAATTTTAAAATGCCTCCGTTTATTTTCATAAATTAAATTTCAGTGTTCAGTGGTTTCTTAGTCTTAAGATGCTTATACAGTAACACCATCACATCCTCCCGTCCCAGGCTCTCCAGACACTTTGCAAACTCCCCGACAGTAATACTGGGATGAGTGCTGGATAGATATTCAAACAAAGCTCGACTTGGACTGCCTTCGAGGGTTCTGTACTCCACAGAGAACTGCTCTATTACGTC